TCATGACTTTCTCACCCAAATTTTCTGCACTTTCTTTCTTATATTCTTCTATAATTCTGGAAATGAACCTGAATTTTGGAGCCGACAGACAAAATTTTAGTAAATTTTCAGTTTTTACTCAAAAAATTTGTCTATTTTGTGCAGACTATAAACAGGACTGTTTTGTGATGAAAAGAGGGAACTGGTGGTGAAAACATAACACTCTAATATGTTTTGGTTATTTAGTAAGCATGAGTTTTATACTATTTTGTACCGCCATTATTTTCATAAACTTCAGTCACTTTATCTTGAACCTTGCAGCTTTGTATGATGAGGGCCTGTAACTGAGTGGATATGAGATGAATATTTATTTTAAAGTCGTCTGAATTATCGCAAGACAAACTTACATTTCCAGAAATAATTTTAATGCAAATAACCAAGTCTTTGAAAGATCTGATCAGTGATGTTTTCCTAGTGTCCTTTTATATTTCTGGATTGTGTATCATGCGGTTGTATCTTGCTCATTTCTGCTCATTCGATTGAACCTTTCCAATCGTTCACTGTGTTCTGTAATGCTATTGGTCGGAAATATGTTTTACAGAACTTGTGCCCAATGAGCTCTTCTCCGTTAATGAATATGAAAGTGGCATTTACTTAATATCTAAATCTGTGAACAGATAGTGACCTTCATTTAATGTTAAATTATATATTGTGATTTTATCTCATCTCCAAGCGAGATATAAAAATTTATTATACTTAAGTCACCAATTATTTACCTTCAGTTCACTGTCAAAGAGCCATTATTAAATGATGTATGTTATAAGAAAAAAGGTGCAGCTACTAAATTCTAAACGCCAATAAAAAAGATTTATATCTGTCAGGTAAATCTGGCTTAGTAATTTTATCTTTTTTAATAGCTTCTCCATGTTTCACTGCTCTTTATACAAAGAAAATTGCTATAAATTTTTTAATTATGTTTATTAACAAAGTTTTTCTGATAGTATTAAAAAAATGATGGTCATGACATAAATCTGTTAAACCCTGTGTATCATGTTAACAATTTCTTGTGGCGAGGATAACTTCTAAAAATTGGTTATTTCACCAATCTATGAATATAAAATCTAGGCATATTCTAACTGTATTGTTGCTTGTTGTATATTTTGAAAGTTTATGAGATACAAAGAATAAAAAGATAAAATATTGTATAAATAATTACCGGTACTGATGACCTTATTGTTCTAGTTAAGCACCATCGTTAGTTGGACAGAGTCTGTAAACATGGACTTATAGATTACCTGTGTGCATCTATACCCCTGACATGTCTGGACTGATCACTTTCATATTCAAATACAAATACATTTTTAATAGCACTTAATTGCGTTAAAACATTTCAAAATTGAGCATTTATGCTATTTTAGAACTGGATCTGTTGTGTATGGACCGACTTTATTCAATCTTGGTTTATAAATTGAACATTGTGGAATCTTGATGCACATTTTTTTTTTGTTTTTGCTGATGGACTTCCAAAATTGACGACTGGCAGCCATTTTGTTGTCTACAATTCACTCCACAGTGATCACATTTCAATTACAGTATCACATTAAAATTGTCAGTAATATCTCTCTTATTAACTCCTATAGGTCACTAGCAATTATGAGCAAAATATTCTAAATTGAACCATTTGTTTTTTCAAATTTTATTTATTGTATTTTTCAAAAACTTTCCAGTATCCGGCTTGAACTGCTGTGTCAAGGAAATTAGCATTCAAATTTTCAAAAACATTAAATGTTTGGGTATTAATAAAAAGATGAATATCACCCTCATATAACAATGACAGTGCACTCTGGAGATGACAGAGATTGTTTGTCAAACTCATTAAGTGCAAAATGTGGAAAAGATAAAAGCAAACTTCCTTCCTGATGAGTAATGTAGTTGATAACACTTATCACTGAGACCATCTCTGAAACATATCCTGTCTTTAAGTTCTAGGTTTGTGTCTACAAAGTTAGGGGAGTGTGTGTAAATGATGTAACAGCCACTCAGTTAATGAACTTTAATAAGATGTTACAGTAATACTGTTTTATTATGGATTTGTACTTCGTTAATTACTTTGTTTTCTTTACAGTAACCCCCCCAAGAAAAGGCATCTGCTTTTTCTGAGCATGTTAACTAATCAACTATCAAGAAAAAAACCAAAACACACCTGTCGGTTACATTTTAGATCAAGTATATCTGCAGGCCTGAAAGGGGGCAGGTCATGTTTTTTGGGTGTCAATAGGATCATACCATTATCTCAGAGGGTAGTCCAGTGTGTTTTGATAGAAACTGTTTTGAATCATTTTATTGTTACATGTTGCCATAGTTACACATCAGTGCAACTGAAAGCTTATGATTCTTTGTTTTATTTTTTCAGCTTTATCCAAGTTTCAATCCCATTTACAAAATCCTAAGCCAGTTACAGCTAGCTTAGGCGGAGTAGCAAGATTTGAATGTCACGTAGACTCGTTACCTCCAGCAGTTATTTCATGGGAAAAGGACAAAGATCCAATTCCCTCAAACAACAGGTATGATGATGTCATAGCTATAAAAAGATCTTATTAACATAATTGCATCTTTTCTGATTGTTCCCTCTCAATGCAATTGAAGATACTGTTTATTTTTACATGTGCATGTTTGAAGAGACTAACCGGTAGTCAACAGAAACAAATTTGAAAACAGATTATTTATTGTCTACTGTTTCCATCGCAGAATATTTGTTATGCAAATCTACTGTACTAGTAAATCACGCTCAAATACCACCTTTCAGACCAAGCATCTCCTATGTACTCGGTAAAGCTTTTGGAAGATTGATACCAACTTGTTTGCAACAAATGTGTTAAAAAAGAATTCTGGTTTCTTTGATGTTTTATATGTTCCTGAGTCATGTATTCATGTATGATAAATTGCTGTTAGTTTTATCACCAAGATTGGGCAATGTAGTCAGAATAACAAAATGATACAACTTTATCAATCTTGTTTACCGATATGTGTACACAATGTGAAAATAATCAACTTAATTCTTGTTTTCAGATTCGTTGTTTTACCCTCAGGAGTTCTTCAAATTCACAACATTCAGGAAAGCGATGCCGCAAATTATAGATGCATCGCTGTAAATATCGCCAACAAAAGAAGAAGTGCAGAAGCCCCACTGACAGTGCAGTCAACAATGCCGCCAACAAATGAACCTGATCCAGATAGAAAACCTATTATAGTCCAAGGTCCTAAACCTGAAACAAAAGAGGAAGGAGACACCATTGTTCTGGAGTGTCTCGTTGTCCGGTATTCTCCCGATGATCCAGAACCTGAAGTAACTTGGAATAGGCTAGGTATGATTAATAGTCTTTATCTTGTCCATGATGTTAGTGAAGTTTTGGTATATCCTCGGGGGCGGACATCCGGGCATTTTCACTGCCTGGCAACCCGCGGCGGTGAAAACAAAGGCCCAAAACTCGCAGAAAACGGTACTTTGGGATGATTGTTGAGACTCCTGTGACCAGTGCAACAAGATTAGCCCTACGTGTGTAACATATATAAATTTGGTTGTTCAGGATTACTTCAAAGTTGAGTTTGTGTTGTTTTCTCGAATTTTCACCGGCTCGATCGGCGTTCCACAGCAGCGCGCACAGAGCCCATGGAAATGCATGTACAGTGGTGCGCGTCGTAGCAACGTGGAACGTCTTGTGACTTAGCTCCGCCCCCGAGGATAGGGGATGTCTGTTGTTACCCTCATTAACAATTCCTAGTCCCATGCAAATGAAGTTCATAAACTGAGACTAATATTTTGACCTCCTTGTGTATTCTAACTTCAAACATTACCTAAAACATCTTAGGATACATGTGCATTTCAATTTGTTTCATGATCAGATCCAAGATAGCTGAATGATTGCCATATTTGTGCTAAATTAATTGTGCTATTGTGTACTTCAGATTGTATGTATGTCTGTATGTCTGTATGTATGTATGTATGTATGTATCTATGTATGTGTGTGTGTGTGTCCGTCTGATCCACTGATATCTCAAGAACCATACATCAGTTTTTGATGAAACTTGGTGCATAGATGCTCTGGGCCAATGTGCAGATTTTAGTAGGTTTTGGTAAAAATCCATACATATTAATTACCTAATTTGCATGATAATTAGCCTAATTGTAGCTGTTCCACTGATATCTAAAGAACCACTCATCAAATTTTGATGAAACTTGTTTCATAGATGCTTTGAACTAATGCCAGGTATTCTTATCCTCCAATGAGAAATCTTCTTACATTGTTAGGTTAAATGCATATTTTTATCCTCCAATGAGAAATCTTCTTACATTGTTAAGTTAAATACATATTCGTATCCTCCAATGAGAATTCTTCTTATATTGTTATGTTAAATACATATTCTTATCCTCCAATGAGAAATCTTCTTACATTGTTAAGTTAAATACATATTATTATCCTCCAATGAGAAATCTTCTTACATTGTTAAGTTAAATACATATTTTTATCCTTCAATGAGAAATCTTCTTACATTGTTAAGTTAAATACATATTTTTATCCTCCAATGAGAAATCTTCTTACATTGTTAAGTTAAATACATATTCTTATCCTCCAATGAAAAATCTTCTTACATTGTTAAGTTAAGTTAAATACATATGCATATCCTCCAATGAGAATTCTTTTTACATTATGTTAAATACATATTCTTAGAAAAAAATTAGAAAACCTTGCTGTAATTATTCACTGTGTTTATTTAAATCTTTGTTCCTATCAGTTATTAAAGTCTAATAATTCTAAGAAAATATTTGACGTATTTCTAGGTGGCAGTGCTATTAATTCTGATTTGGGTGTTCCATATGGAAAAAACAATCTACTTATCAGTAATCTTGGTATGACAAGTACTGGTGTGTACAAGTGTACTGCGACTAATCCTGCAACAGGGGGTGCAGTGTCTAAAACAGCACGGATTACTGTACTCGGTAAGTAAAACACAACATAATTGGTTCAGAAATTCTCTCATTTCACTCACATAGTTGTTTCAACGAATCAGAATTGTTGTTACATTTAATTGATTTGATATTTATATATATTTACAACTACATACTTTTCTTGAATTTTGTGCACCAAACGGTATCAGTTAACTGCATCGATATTATTCAGATCAGAAAATAAAAGCGATTTTTTGTTTCTGACTCTTGTGATATCTTATTGATTTTGATGAAATTTTATGTATAGATCCTCTGAGCTAACACGCAGATCTGATTATTTTTGGTAAAATTTATGCATATTAATTACCTAATTTGCATAAAGTTTAGTCAATTTTCGGCTTTTTCGCTATCTCAAATACTAATCATTACATTTCAATATAACATGGTACATATTATATGGTACATATTTTCAACTTCTTGCTGGTAACTATGAGTCCGATCGCTATGATTTTATACATGTGGGTATCATTTTAGGATATCTTCAATTCTCTAATTGAAATGTACATTGCTAACAATGGAGCTATCTCAGTCGAGAAGCTGATTGTTTTACGAATCAATCATCACATTATAATTAAACTGGGTAAATATGTGCTCTAGAACAATACAGAGCTAATTAGTTTTATGTAGAAATCTATGCATATTAATTACTTAATTTGCATAACAAGTACACAATTTTCTACACATATCTCAAAAACAGATTCTTGCATTTCAATAAGACTTGGTATATGAAGTGCCTGGGAACAATGCTGAAGACCTGATTAGTTTTGGATTTAAATTTGGGCATACTAATTGCTTAATTTGCATAATGAGAATCATCATCAATTTGGTTCACAGATGTTCTGGGTTAAACCACAGACATAATTAGTTTAATTAATGTTAAAAAACATGCATTTTAATCATTTAATTATTATTAGCCAATTTCTGATATCTCAAAAAATCAGAGCAATGTTTTTTTATTACTGGTTCCATTTTGTTGTTGATGATCTGTTTTTTTTTTCAAATTCAATAATTGTTTTTCTTGTTTTTTTTAACCGATGTAGTTTCTTAAAGTTGTAGATGATGCAATTTTTTGTTTAAACTGCATGGTATTATGTGTGACCCTTAAAGGTCACACATCCTGGTACTTTAATGACCCCTAAAGGTCACACATCCTGGTACTTTAATGACCCCCAAAGGTCACACATCCTGGTACTTTAATGACCCCTAAAGGTCACACATCCTGGTACTTAATTGATGATCTCATAATAGTCACACAGGTACTTTATAGGGTTAAAATGTAAATATTTGGAAGGAAATAATTTAGAAATTCTCATTGATAGTGAATTTGTACCCCCAGAAAGTATCAGAATGTGTGACCTTTTGAGAGGAAATAATTGGGAAATTCTTATTGATAGTGAATTTGTACCCACAGAAAGTACCAGGATGTGTGACCTTTTGAGAGGAAATAATTGGGAAATTCTTATTGATAGTGAATTTGTACCCACAGAAAGTACCAGGATGTGTGACCTTTTGAGAGGAAATAATTGGGAAATTCTTATTGATAGTGAATTTGTACCCACAGAAAGTACCAGGATGTGTGACCTTTTGAGAGGAAATAATTTGGAAATTCTTATTGATAGTGG